GAACTCAAGCGAATGTCGGACACAATAGAAATGTGGCGCCTGTAGATATTCAGACCTTTTCGCGACGATTTTAGATTAAAACTAAGATAATTCAATACCATGCACATAAAAAGAACTCACTGCCAAGCCCTGAAAGCGACGGCGACTACTGAAAACGTCAATGGCGTCTCTGGTTTGGGACAGCGGCTGGTCAAAGGGAGAACGAATTTCATCAGATGGGAGAAATGATGAAGATGGCTTTGATAGAGTTTAGAGGAGGTCTACATTTGCTTTTTCCTTTTTCGCTGTAAATTGCTTTCTACGACTCACCACGTCTTTCTCTGTTGATGACGTCATTTTGAAGCTTAGTCGTTTTTTTTTCCTGCCTCACATAGCATCATCAACAAGAATGGGCGATAGTCACTTGGATCAGGATTCATGCAAACTGGCGAGAATATTACGAATACTCCTGAATACTACAGATTGTTATTATTTTGTACATAGCATTTTTGGAAAACCTTCAAATCATAACTTCAAGAAATCTTCACTACTAACAGAGTTTGCTGCACCACTCTTGCACGCTAAAAAGTCAGAGATATTATTATGCGTCCGCTCAAATAACACTACTGTCAAAGGGAATATAAATGATGCAGGTGACGTATGTGAAAGTAATCATGGTCACATATGACCTTAGTTGCTGAAATTTAGCGAAAAACCGAGCTACATAATGGTTGTTGGTGTTACTGGTGGCGGCTGGTGATAGTGAGGGTAATGGTGTTTATGATGAACGCAGGGTTGATGTGACTTTAGTTACGACTAATTTTGTTAGAATATTTCTTATCGGTTCACTCATTTCTCTCTTTTTGTCAGTGGTCTTGATAGAAGGTTACCTGGTCGTTGTGCTGACAGATCACTTGTCAGATGATTGTAGGCAGTGTCAACGTTACAAATTCCCAAATACCAATATGGATAAGAGAAAAGTTCATGATTTTCTGAAAATACCAATAAAGATCGCTCTGCGATGATTCGCAGGATTTTTTTTTGGCAGCTACAAGGCGTCCATTTTCATTCTCGATGAAGTTATATACTTAAATCGTAATGCGTAATAACCTTGTAAAAATTTTTTCGCCACTAGCCAGCAACTGGGTATCAAACCGAGTGCGGCTTGAGGCTGATCGCCCACGATTCTCACCAAACTCCATCGTAGTGGTAAACGTAGGTATTCACTCGTTGGCAGTTGACGAATTCTAAACATTCAAATTTGACAAACGTCAAATTTTTTGCACTTTCTTCGTCACTGAAACTAAAGTCTCTCGTAAGATATTTTTACAACAGATTCATTCTAAACTCCAGCTTAAGTCCACACCACACCCCTAGAGCATTCGCGAACATATTGACATTTCATAAGCTGAAATCTTTGATATTCTCCTCTAAACTGACGTTCGTCGACGTCGTCATCTTTTTCGACTTTATGGAAATGAGTCGACAGCTTCTAATCATTAGCTTGAGTTTGCGTCTTCATAATGACGAATTACCATGCAGCACTCAAAAGACAGCATTCTCTGCAGAGTTTATATCTGATAATTCAAGACAACTGCTGACTTTTCTATTCCTTCCTGTCATTCCTCTTTTTATTACATTTCACGCTTGTTTTCTTGATCTACATCCTGTAGATTTTACCTTGTTGTGGCTTTTCAATTTTTCTTCATATCGTATAGTTCCTTATTTCTTTTTCTTTATCAATGTTTTGGCTCTCTGGCTTGATTCAATACAGCAATTTCCTTCCATTACGATCTCTTTATGTGTTTCTTTTTCACACCTTTTTCAGAAGTCTTTACTCAAACTCTAGTTCTCTAGTCATCCATATCTTTTCTCTAATTTGTTTAAAATAGATTGCATTTCCTGTCCCGCACAGTAATAGTTTCATGAAAGGTTTTCTAATGAGCTTATGTCCACTTTTTTTTATTAGAGATTTATGTTCCATTTTTCTCTGATAAGTGTAGGATATAGAGCAATTATATCGAGAAAAAGAAATAAATAGCAATGAAAATGCGATACTAGAAAGGAGAACAAAATTCTCTCGATAATTCGATTTTCCTCTGCACTCTGCCAACTTATGTTACGATGCCAACGCTTTTTATCTACCAAAGATTATCACTTATCGATCCAAAGGCGTTCCTCCTACTTTGTACTTTTAGAGAAACTTACTGATACTCCTCAGCTACTACATTAAGTTCAGTACCAGCCCAACAATTAACATCCATACATGTATCGCCACCAAAATAGTCCCATAGACAAACACATTCGATTTCGACCGGCTTCGAACAAAGCACCATTGGAGTGAATGCGGCCGCCTAAATCGAACCCATATAACGAGTTGGCTATAAGAATGAATAAAACTTGGAGTACTTCGTTTTTCTATTAGCGGTAGAAGTTTTCATTTATCTGCAAATCGAGAATTTGGTTTACAATTAGTGAAAATTATGAAGCAAGCTATGTAAATAATTCCTTTATGGAAAATTGTAAACATGAACGAATCGATGACATTAGCCTTCGTCTCGTGTTTCTACAATCTCGGGAAACGTTCACTTCTACAAAAAGGCGAAAAATCATAACAACTGCATCTATAGTTTCCAAGGCCTTATCTACTCAATATCTAGAACGAACAATATCATTTATCACCAGTAATTCCGTTACCAATTGAGAACCTCGTGCGGTGGCCCCTGTTATAGCTCCATTCGCTCCATATGCTCGTCAGAGCCCTTTGTAGACCTGTGTGCGATGAGCGTCACAAAACGTGTGACGTTCCTGGTGTGAGTCTTCTCTTTGGCAAAGCGTTTCCTCTAAAACTGCATGATCTAGTTTAGCACGCCGAGTAACTATCTGCTAATTACTTGCTATCAAAATTCATGAACATCCTTTAACCAAAAGGAAGCCCATTGCTTTTGAGGAGCTTCTTAGTCGGCTTTGTCACAGAGGAAAGGCCGAAAATCCTTGAGGATTTCATGTACTAGGACTTCACAGTGCTGTGATGGAGTTTTCTGACTAATGTGTTTTAGCATAGAATTTATAGTAAGCATCTAGGCGATGCACGACATTCTTCCATTTTGATTCCCAACCTTTTGAAGAAATATATATGCCAATACATGCGTGAGTGATCGAGCTGCTAGTGGTATCAACATTAATTTTATGACGTTCGCCGTTACAAAAAGTCATTTTTGCACCTTATATAAAAACAGAGCGTATGTGGCGCAGTGGTTAGAAGTGCTCCTGCGTCGCATACGAGGTCAAGAGCTCGATCTCGCGCTCATGGCTCACCAAGCCATCCATCCCTCCTAAATCGGCAAATTATCCTTTTGTTTTATATAGAAACAAATTTCTTCTCCTCCAAACGGCTAGAATAAGCAAAAGTGAACAGTACTCAAATGAAGTCGGATAATGCCCGGAGAATCAATACACATCTTTTGCACATGTTCCACATTAAGCAACTACTCTAATTTGAAACTAATTCTAATCTATTTGTAATCAATGCCGCTCTTCTAAAGACTTCTTAAACAGACTGTTGAACCGTGACTATATTATGACTTATTTGGAGAGAATACTCTGACGTAGTCATGGGTAAATGATCATTACCTATGGTTTGCATTACCATCCTTGGTCACAAGTGTTTGTATCACTGACATAGTGCGATATTATGTAATGGAACGTTTGCATAAACATAACGCATTCCTACAAATGAAACTGAGAGCTATTTCTAGCGCTATAACTACACTTCCAGCTAAACTACGACCTTTTCTAATGAATGAAGCTTTTGAAAAGCGTTATTTAAATACATTTACAGAAAGAAGTAGGAACTCGTCTTGGTTAACCTGATCGGACTCCTTGAAAATAATATCGTCAGCAAGCAGACGTCCATCATAATCAAAACCTAGTGAAAGAAGACTTCTCATGGTGAGCTCCGTTCTGTTTTGATTCACATTGGCGCCAAATTCGCGAATATCTTCTGGTGGCTAAAAGAGACCAGCTATGGAACGGGTTTGACGACGACCTTTACTTCAACTTCGCCATTATTAATAAAATTTGTAGAAGGCCTTCAGCATCGGCATTATTAGGTCTTTTCATAAGTTTTGGTATTAGAGCAATACACACCAAATTCATTAACCAGAAATAATAAAAATTACTAAACTCAAGAACATCGCTTAAAAACTGCAAATTTGTCGTCGTCATCTTTGCACTCCATTTCTGGGCGTCATCACCGTTAACGAAAAGCGGAATTTTTACAAGAGTGAACGTTGTCCGATTCAATGTTTAACACCAGGCCAACGAGGAACTCTAGCTCCATGTCCTAAATCAATTTGCGCCAAAAGCTTTGTTCATAATTTTTGGGGATGGATCGGACCGAATTACTGGGACTTGCTGCCAGCCAGAGAGACAAATCAAGCGCTACTGTGTACTGTGAGCAGCTGGAGCGCTGCAATTGGGCCCCCGTCACGTCAACGTCGCCGCACTATCATCCTGCTTTAAGACAACGCAAGGCTACATGTCGCCATATTGAGAAAAGGGAAGTTGGCCGAACTGGGCTAGGAGTTGCTGGATCATCCACCGTACAGTCGTGACTTGTCGCCATTTGACTATCACGTCGTCCGGTCTCTGGAGCACTTCCTGAGCAAGAAGAAGTTCCGAGACATCACTCATTTGCGTCGAGGACTGACAACTTTCTCCAAATACAATGATGACGAGTTTTATGAGCGCGGAGTTAATTTGTCGCCTGAGAGATGATAGAAATGTGTTTAGGCTGGACGAATGCACAAATAGTGTTGTTAAGTAGTTTTAACTACTTTTGCTTAATAAATTTGATGTTTACTACTCCATTGGCGAAACTTATGAGAAGACTTAATATTAGTTAAACTAAAATAAGTAATTTTTATCGTAACCTGTCTGTCTCGGATAGAACTATATTGTTGCTTAATTTCTGAATTCTACAAAAAATAGTTTTGCATGTTTAAGAATGCAAAATATCCAGCCTCATACAGGAGTTGAGCCTGCGTTCCGACCATGCCGAGGTTGCATGCTACCACTACACCAGCAAGACCACAGCATTGCTATCACCAAAAGGTTTGGTCTAATAAAATCGTATCAGTATTACTAGTTAGATCGATAGCTATTGAATGTGTATAATCTTCAATATGCCTTTTTTACTACCATATTTTGAGTTGTCACGCGGCGAAGATGACCCTAACGAACTAGACCATGCAGCTTTGATGACCCTCTGAGTTTCGTCTAAAAGCAAGAATATCTTAAATATGACCACTTTTTCACTATTTTGGTGGTGCGACATGTACAGCCTATCGAATTCTGTTAGCATGAAGTCGGTTTATATTGAAGTGAGATATTAAGTGAAGGTATTCGAACCCGCCGTGGTTGGATGACGATAAAGGAGCGAGTTGTCTTGTGATCTGATAAATCTTTCAAATATAACTTTATATGCGGAATTCCGATTGAGTCGTCGATAATCACCTGAGAGTATTCGCTGGAACTATCGGTGGCATTGTCATATTTCTCATAATACGGTATCGCATGTGTCGGAATTGCTACCACATCTCCTTTTTTCACCGTAAACTGATACTGGCCATTGTTTTTCACTGAAATGCAGCGTAATTGTGATCTATATGATTCTTGCATCTTACTCTTTTCACCAGTGTTACGATGTGAATGCACATCTAAGACTTTTGAATTTGAGCTTGGTCTCAAGAAAACACTCGCAACGGAAGATATTATATATTTGACGATACCAGACAAGAACAATCGACTGTAAATCATCCAAAAAAATCGATGCCATTCAGTCATATATTCACCTAATGGCACGTGTAAATAGTAGGCCTGCGCCCACTCTACGTAGGGGGTTGGGCTAGACGAAGGGGCCTGCCCACTTGACGAGGCTGCTAAAGCCGAAACACGTGTATTGGACTGTAAAAGTGCCCATAACAGACCACATGCATGGCTCAACAAATAAACATCAGGCATATTGGAATTTGTGCGTGATCCCAAGAAAACACTCGGAGCGAAAGGCATGATATATCTAAGAATGTTGAGTAATGCGCAAAACAGGTAGCGTCGGTCTCGGTGGTGTAGCGGCAGTATACGTCCTCGGTATGGGTAAAACGCGAGTTCAACTCCCGCTTGGAGTCGAACGTTATACGTATGACTCAACATCCTTATATGTATAAAAGAACAACTTATTGAGTTATAATTGGTTCAATCGTAAATATATATAGTTATTATTCATTATAATAAACGATTTGCAAAGTTCGCCAAATTCGAACCCTATCTTCCAAACTCATAACGAATATGGATCCTAGATGTTCCCAAATTCTTGATCGAACAATTTATCAGCTACACTTTCTATACTTTCTTATTAATTTCTTTCATTGATAAATGATAATGATTGATTTGAAGACTGCTTTCTACGACTGCAGTCAGTATTTTAGGCGTGGTCTAAAATCTTTGATGTATAAATGCAAATCATCGGTCGTTCTTGATATTCTTAGAGTCTATTTTGGAACTTTCTCAGTGTAGATCTGCTTTTATGATTTTCAAAAATGTTCTATACTACACTGGGGAACCAGTATGTATACAGTTATTGTAGTTTTATCATTAGATTCTACTATCTAGTATATACTCGTATTTTGGATTTTCTAAATGTCTGACCCCAAATCTTTTATCGGTTGCGTAGCAATTAAAGAACATGTTTATCGCTGTGGTTATAAGTTCCTTAAAGTGCACAACTGATGGCTGGTTTAGTTCACAGTTCTGATCCAACTTAGCCAACTCTCCGGGATTGCCAAATTTGTACCAGACTTATCTAAGAGGTTAGCAGTGCTGATTTGATAATCTGAGGGATCACTGATAGATAAACCGATAGATAGGTCGTCACAACTCATTGTATAAGCCAGATAGGCATTCAGTCATCCTTACCAAACTAATATATGGTCTAATGTATACTGTACCCTACTGGAAACCCTGTATACTGTGTGGAAAGATCGGTCTTCAACTGAATCTAACGAAAACAATGTTCATGAGGAACGGATGGGTTTCTAATGCCCCATTCACGCTCAACGGAACGACAATTTCCGAATGCTCCAGTTACATCTATCTAGGTCGTGAAATCAACATGATGAACGACCTAGCCCCAGAGTTGAGCAGGAGGAAACGAGCGGCTTGGGGAACGTTTAAGAGCATCGAAGATGTAGTGAAGAGGACAAAGAACATCCGACTCCGTGCCCACCTTTTCGACTCGACAATTATCCCTGCCCTAACGTATGCAGCAGAAACCTGGTCGCTACGTAAGCAGGATGAAAGATCACTTGCCGTTATCGAACGCGCAGTCGAAAGGTCGATGCTAGGAGTATCTCGTATTTCGCAAATGAGACAAAGGATCCGAACTTCCGACCTACGTCAACGATCGAAAATCAGAGACGCCGTTCTACAAGCCAGGATATCGAAAATAAGGTGGGCCGGACACGTGATGCGCTTCAACGACAACCGATGGACGAGAGCCGTTACCGACTGGATTCCTCGGGACGTCAAGCGCTCTAAAGGAAGACCACTGACCCGTTGGTTCGATTTCTTCACGAAAGCGATGGAAGAAAGATATGATGCTCAGCGAATTCCTAGAGCAAGGAGGACCCACTGGGCTACTCTTGCACGCGATAGGGAAAAATGGAAGAGTTGCTGGTACCCGCTCGAGTCACTCGACGATCAACGGGACGACAGGTGATACAGGTGATACTGTACCCTTCGGGGATTTATCAAAACTGAAATATAAATTGGTCACAATCGCTTTATAGCAGCAAAGATCAACAGTATCAGTTCCACTTTCACCGTTCTTTCAGATTATACGAGAACAATGAAATACGACCTCACTCGCTAGAGAACAAGTTTTCATAGGAGTGTTAGTAATTATTCGAAAAATCAGATTTCGGGCTAAAGTTTCGCGTAGCCAATTTTTTAAAATACACCTTTATAACGCTGTAAAATTCACACAAAGCAGTATCGCAAACGCGCATATATCTCGTCGGACGAAGCCCTTTCGGATTATTAATAATCATTCGATAGGTAATCCTTTTTAGCTCCAACGCAGTGTTTATATCCTGAGAAGACCATTTCTCTGAAACGAAGCAGGTAAAATAAGTTGAGTTTCCATCTGCAATCAAGGGGGTCTTTGGCAAACTCACGTGCGTGTGTGTGAGCCAGCCACTTGAACCGCTGTAGAAGTACTTCTCTTCGCGTTTATATGCCCGAAAAATCGATGGCCATTAAGTCATTGAACGTAGCTGCCTCAGCAGCTGCACGTGATTTAGCCAAAGACATCCTGCAGATTGGATTTCAACTTATTTTACCTGCTGCGTTTCAAACAAACCGGTCTTTTCAGGATACAAGAACAGCGTTGATGATCAGAAAAGATTACGCTATCGAATAATTACTAATAGTCCAAAGAATGAGCTCTGTCCGATGAGAAATATGCCGTTAAAGACATAGCTTTGTGTGGATTTTACAGAATTATAAAAGTTTGTTTTAAAAAACCGGCCGCTTGAAGCACTAGCGAGGAAGCATGAGCTTTTGAATGATCACTATTACTCCTGTAAAAACTTCTTCTCCAGCCAACAAGATGGGTTTTTTATTTGTTCCTTTATATTCAGTAGATACCCTTTTACAAAAATGTGGAGTAAATAACTTTGTACAGCATAAATTTATTCATATTTTTGATATTTGCAAATGATAAAGGAGCGAATGGGTTGCTGCAATATAAGACCGCAGCGTATAAATTTGCTACATCAGTCTTATTATAGTATTTTACACCTTTTAGATGCATTTAAAAACTACTATTTGATTGAAGGGTAAAATACAGCACTTAGAGCGTTAGGCGTCATTCATCCCATGAGAGATGCGTCGTGCATTGGACTTCATCATGCCCTTAAGAGGTAACTGACTACATATCTGGCGCTACCTACAATATATGCAGAAAAAATCATGATAGATCTTTTCCTACCAGATTCTTTCGGAATTCCCGATGTCATTGGACGAATTAGACGTGGATCGTTTGTTAATGAAATGAACCACACTCTCAGATCAGTTGGTTTTCTCGACATAACAAATTATCTTTTTTATCATCTTACAATGATGAAGAAATATAATTCTGAAAGGAACTCAAACAACAAAATCACAGAGAGCAGCCATGATTAGATAATCTATGACCTCTTTTTTTAGTATTATAGTCGTAGTAGCTAGAAATATAGTTTGCATTGATGTCACGAGGTCAGAATGTGAACTAAGATATTTCGTGACAATGTTTGCTACATATGCCCACGTAACATCTAATACGCCATGTAGTCAACAATAACTCGTACTCGACACTTAGAAAGAACATCACGATCATTGTTTCACCGTACATCGAGTGTAAAGAGTTCGCCGTCGATTTCTCTATGCAGCGTTAGATCACCGAGGAACTGACTGAGCGAAAAGACACCGTGCAAATGGCGAGCCTGGAGAGTCGAAACACGTGTCTTGCACTGTGTAAGTGCCCATAAAAGACCTCATGAAAAGCTCAAAACGCATTGTGAGATTATAAGATATTTCGGGTTACCGAATAAACTGTGCGTAATTATTCCAGACTTCTTAATGACCAATGTTTTGGTGCCATCCCTTATTTTTTGTCCGAATTCAGTCAAATTATATGGAATGAAACAACATAAAATGTAACTGTTGACTGTTGTTAACTCTCGCATCGCACCTTTCAGAGGATTTTGAAAGCGGTATTGAGGCAAGAACATTTGCCACAACGTGGATCTATAAATACATTTGCTTATCAGCTTATTAATGCAGGGACGTATTGCTAGCCAATGTCAAGGTGTCATGAAAGTTGGTGACTACCATTTAGGAGCATATCAAGCATTATGTGTGTCCCACGGACCTCCCTCCTTGAAAGATCCCACCCTGTTAGTCGCGAGGGCACATGGAGCGTCTACAGGTGGTGGATAGGGGAATAAACGCGAACCAAAAGAGATCGTGTGCTTCCCAGAAACGCAGGTGGAT